ACATTGAAATTACCATTTAATATAATTTTCACATGTCATAAGATACTCTTTTTTATTTATTTTTTTGACTACTTAAAATGCAAAGCCTTCTTAGCTTTTGAGTGGTACAAAAACAGTCAGTGGACCATCTTTGGCTACTAGATGATAATTTGCCAATCTCTGTTCTAATGCATCATGCTCAAGCATACACACTGAAATATATATTATTATGAATTACATTTATTTCTCCTTTACATTATAGCTAAAGCACTGTGTTAATTGTTTGAAATGGATATGTGTAAGTACTATCAATGAAAAGTTTTGTAAAACGACTTGGTAAAAATATTTAATATAAAACAAATTTTTGAGTGCTGTGAAGATCCTCACTTGTAATGATGAGATATATACAAGAGAGTGTGGCTTCTCATTGTGGTTTTGATTTGTTTTTCCCTGATGCCAAGTGATGTTGAGTATTTTTTCATGTGTCCGTTGGCCACTTGGATGTCTTCTTTGGAGAAATGTCTGTTCATGTCTTCTGCCAATTTCTTCACTGGATTACTTGTTTTTTAGGTATTGAATTTGATAAGTTCTTTATAGACTTTGGATACTAGCCCTTTATCTGATAAGACATTTACAAATATCTTCTCCCATTTTGTCAATTGTCCTTTGTTTTTGTCAACTGTTTCCTTTGCTGTGCAAAAGCTTTTTATCTTGATGATAAAAAGTCCCAATAGTTCATTTTTGCTTTTGTTTCCCTTGCCTTTGGAGACATGTCTAGCAGGAAGTTGCTGTAGCCGAGGTCACAGAGGTTACTGACTGCATTCTCCTCTAGGATTCTGATGGATTCCTGTATCACATTTAGGTCTTACAGCCATTTTGAGTTTATCTTTCTGTGTGGTGTAAGAAAATGGTCCAGTTTCGTTCTTCTGCATATGGCTGTCCAATTTCCCCAGGACCATTTGTTGAAGAGACTGTCTTTTTTCCCTTGACATTCTTCCCTGCTTTGTCGAAGATCAGTTGACCATAAAGTTGAGGGTCCATTTTTGGGTTCTCTATTCTGTTCGATTGATCTATGTGTCTGTTTTTGTGCCAGTACCATACTTTTTCTGATGATTAGAGCTTTGTAATAGAGCTTGAAGTCTGGAATTGTGATGCCACCAGCTTGGTTTTCTTTTTCAACATTCCTTTGGCTATTCTAAGTCTTTTCTAGTTCCATACAAATTTTAGGATTATTTGTTCCAGCTCTTTGAAAAATGTTGGTGGTATTTTTTTTTTTTTAATTTAAAAGATTTTATTTATCTGACAGAGAGAGACAACAACCAGGGGGAACTGCAGAGGGAGAGGGAGAAGCAGGCTCTCCACTGAGCAGGGAGCCTGATGCAGGGCTTGATCCCAGCACCCTGGGATCATGACCGGAGCCGAAGGCAGACCCTTAACCAACTGAGCCACCTAGGCGCCCCTGTTGGTGGTATTTTGATAGGGACTGCATTGAATGTGTAGATTGCTCTGGGTAGCATAGACATTTTAACAATATTTGTTTTTCCGATCCATGAGCATGGAACATTTTTCCATTTCTTTGTGTCTTTCTCAATTTCTTTCATAAGTGTTTTATAGTTTTCAGAGTACAGATCTTTTACCTCTTTGGTTAGGTTTATTCCTAGGTATCTTATGGCTTTTGGTGCAATGAGATACCACCCTACACCAGTCAGAATGGCTAAAATTAACAAGTCAGGAAACAACAAATGTTGGTGAGGATGTGGAGAAAGGGGAACCCTCTTACATTGCTGGTGGGAATGCAAGCTGGTGCAGCCACTCTGGAAAACAGTATGGAGGTTCCTCAAAAAGTTAAAAATAGAACTACCCTATGACCCAGCAATTGCACTACTAGGTATTTACCCAAAAGATACAAACGTAGTAATCTGAAGGGGTGCCTGCACCCCTTTATAGCAGCAGTGTCCACAATAGCCAGACTATGAAAAGAGCCTTAGATGTCCATTGACAGATGAATGAGTAAAGAAGATGTGGTATGTATATACAATGGAATATTACTCAGCCATTAAAAAAGCGAAACCTTACCATTTGCAATGACATGGATGGAACTAGAGGGTATTATGCTAAGTGAAATAAATCAATCAGAGAAAGCCAGTTATCATATGATTTCACTCATATGTGGAATTTAAGAAACAAAACAGAGGATCATAGGGGAAGTGAGGGAAAAGTAAAATAAGACAAAATCAGAGAGGGAGTCAAACCATAAGAGACTTTAATCATAGGAAACAAACTGACGGTTGCTGGGGGGTGTGGGGTAACTGGGTTATGGGCATTAAGGAAGGCACATGATGTAATGAGCACTGGGTGTTATATAAGACTGATGAATCACTGAACTCTACCTCTGAAACTAATAATACACTATATGTTAATTGAATTTAAATAAAATAAAATTAGGAAAAAAAAAGAGAACATGGCTTTCCCAAGTACCTCTGAGAATAAAGAAAGAAGGCCATATTTATGGTTTAAATTGTTCAAGACAGTCAATTTTGTGAGTTTCAATAAAACTCAAAAATTCCTGTCTTTGATAAGGAAAATCAATCCTGGCTTATCTCTAATGCAAAGCTGTTAAGTGGTGTCTGCAGTTCAATACTTTTGGGCTTTCAGATATGTGTATCTCTTCCACACTTGGAACATGTTTCATGTCCAGCAGAGTTAGGCTGAAGTTTAGTGAAATATCAGAGTTATTTGTTTGTTTTTTTGTTTGTTTATTTGAGTTTTTTTGTAGGATGTACTGCCTATGAGTTTTATTTAATTATCATCAAGATGAGCATTACAAAATGTTTCAAAATGAGCCGCTGTAGGGGCACCTGGGTGGCTCAGTCAGTTAAGCATCTGACTCTTGGTTTCAGCTCAGGTCATGATCTCAAGGTCCCAGGATCAAGCCCCACGTCGGGCTCCACGCTAAGCACAGAGTCGGCTTGAGATTCTCTCTCTCCCTCTGCCTCTCCCCACCCCGCCCTAAAATGAATAAATAAAATCTTTTAAAAAAAATGGGCCACTGGGTCTGAGTGCATTAGGTGAATCTGATCTCACAGACTTCTAAACCTTTGTCATTCTCCTCTTTGTCCTATGACGACCCTCCAATGATCTGGGAAGGAGGGGGAAGGTGGATCATGCAATATCAAGGCTCAGAGGAAGCATCAGAATTGTTCTGAACCAGAGGAATGTCCTTTGTCCACCTACTTGGTAAACTTTCCAACCATATAACTCTTGATCTGGTTTCTTAACTTGGTCAGGTGTAAAGAATTCCTAGCTGATTTCAAATCTCCCTGTCTTTCCCTAGTACCACAAATACCAGGAGTCTGTTGACTCTTCCACTCGGCTCCCTGGCTGGACAAAGTCTCTCCAGCCTCTGTGTTGAGGCCACTTCTCCCTTTGCCTGCTGCCCCAGAACAGATGCACTGGCCTTCCACTCAGCTGCCTTTAGGATCTTCCTCAAGGGCTGTGGGAGCTCTATCCATTCCACATGGAAATGGGGTACTGGGTAACCCAGTGTCCTTTGACGCATCCCAAGCCCTAGACTTGTGCTGGGCAACTTGAAAGGTGATATCTTTCCAGATCCTTAAGTAGCTTCTTTGTTCCTCTTCTATTTGTGTCTCAACCCCTACTCAACCCCCACTGTCATCTCCAGAAGGAGTGGGCTTCTCTTTCACTCGTCCTCTGTCATAAACCATTCTTCATCACAGAACTGCAAGCCTCGGCGGGCTTAATGTCATACGCAGAAAAAGTATTTTCTCTCTACTATGGGGAGACACTTGGAGCTAAGCTATTGAAGCTCATAGGGAAGCCAATTTGGCAAATCCTCCCTATGCAAAGCTGTGCTTTCAAACGCATTGTCTTGGACCATGTTCTCTAACCCAGAATGATGCATCTAAAGGAGACTGAAAAAAGAACAAGATTTATTTATTTTATTTATTTTTTTTTCTAAAGATTTTATTTATTTATTCATGAGAGATAGAGAGAGAGAGGCAGAGGCAGAGGGAGAAGCAGGCTCCCCGCGGAGCAGGGAGCCCGATGCGGGACTCGATCCCAGGACCCCGGGATCATGACCTGAGCCGAAGGCAGACACTTAACCGACTGAGCCACCCAGGCGTCCCAAAAAGAACAAGATTTAAAGAAAGGCAATGAATGTTAAGGTTTCACGTTTGCTATGTACTCGCCAAATTACAGATATGGTTGAAATTACCTTATTTTCTTCCAGTGTGACTGACAGCTGAGATGTGAATGCAGTTCAGGCATCCATGTAAGTGTGTGTGCTGCCTGCACTTTGGGGCGGACACCCACATGTAATAGAATCACCGCAGATCGCCCACCAACTGCAGTAAAGGTTAAGGATTATCCTGAGGTCCTGTCGGCATGAACTCACAGATCCCTATGCTATGTCCCAATTTCTCGGGCTTTCCGTGTTTCTCCCTATGACGACAAAAGCTCTCACCATGATGATTTATATTCTTGTTTTCATTTCCCGGGGCCTGAAGAAAGCCGTTCCCTCTTCTAGCCCAGCCCTTTTAGCAAATGCCCTACCTCTTTTCCATTCCTAAGGGGTTTGTGCACGTGTAGAGTTCTTGGCTGGCTTGTGGCTGGGATCAGCTTCCTCTCCTCAATCCCAGTGGAGGGTGCGTGTGTGTGCGTGTGTGTGCGTGCACGTGCACACACGTGTACTGGGGCAGGTGCAGAAAAGAGGTGAGTCAGAGGTAGAGACAAGTGACAGGGGAATTCAGATAGGCTTAAATACATAATTATTGTCGATTTCCCTTGCATAGAAATCTCCTGAGTGCTTTTTTTATAAAAACACAAAGACAGTATATTGTGAAAAAAAAAAAAAGGAAAAGGAGGGTAGCTGCTGCATTTTGTAGGATGACTTGTGGGTAGAAGAGGATTATTGTATGTATATTCACCCTTCTTCCCAGACAGGACACAGGGATCCTCCACTAGCCTCTCAGTGTCTCTTCCTTTTTTTCCCCCTACAGCTCAACAGAATTCACCAAAAATCCATGAAGGCTGGTGGGCGTACAAGGAGGTGGTCCAGGGAAGCTTTGTTCCAGGTAAATACACATTTATTCTTCTTCTTTTTTTTTTTTTAAAGAAAGAATTTGAATGAAATATAATATTATTTCCAGAATTTTGCGTTTGCTGCACGCCCGGGAAGGTATTGCAAGGAGCAGTGGCATCTCTCGTACACAGTGGGAATAAGACTTTTCCGTCAAGGGGCCGTTTGTTCAAGAGTGGCAGTTCCACCAAGACCCCCCTTCTCCATGGGAGCCTACAACCCTAGGCCTTTCCCTTGGGTGGCTCTGCCAAGGAGAGGGCTGCGGAGGACAGAGGGTTGAAGCTCTGTCTGTTGGAATTTGCTTAAGCGAGAAAGAGCCTTTTTTTTTTTTTTTTTTAACATTAATGAAACAGGAAGTCTGGGAAGGCTGACCATGACAGGCTTGCTGGGATGCATGTTGTCACTGATGTCACTTTAGTACCATCTGTGATCAGGACTTAGCAGATTGGGCTAAGCATGGGCTAAAAATAATGGCCGGAGTGGACGCTGTCAGCATGAGTGGGGAGAGAACTGAAGACAAATTAGAGCCAGAAACATACCATGGCTTTAGTGTCAAAGGAAGGCGGGGGTCCCTGTGGTGCCCCACCACTCTGACCTTAATCACGGTCCTCTTCGTTCTGCTGTATCAGACTTTAGTTGGGAGAGAGGCAAGAGAAAGAGCAAGAATGTTAAGGAGAAGGATGGACAGAAAGGCAGGTGAGATATCTCAGAGTATTTTTAACTGCCTAGATGTGGGAAGGGAAGAAATGCAGCTCTTGAGAGGAGTCGATATGGAGTTCCCCATTTGGGCGCTAAGCACAGAGGGCTTCATGTTTCGGTAGAGATCTTTGTAGTTGGTGGCAGGTGGGAAGAGCAGTGTCCCCAGCTCACTTGGTTCGTTCTTGGCTGCTGTCTCTTGTGTTCTGGTTCTTCTGTGGAGCTCCTGACGTCAACTGTGCAGAGCGCCGCAAGTTACTAAACCCCTCTGAGCATTACTTTCTCAGTTGTACCGTGGGACGGTAACTAACCCATGCTCTTGGGGCTTTCCAGTAGGAGGAAAGCAGCTTGGTGAGGGAGAGGTGGGTGACCCACGAAAAAGCCAGCTGACTGCCAAATAGCCTCTTAAATTGAGATTATTAACTGTACAAATTTACTATGGCACATTTATTCCTTGGCCCAGTGGGCATAGAAACTGGTCTTGATTAATTCACCCAGAAATGATCAGGTTTCTAATAATAATCTTGTAACAACTTAATCGACACAAGCTATATTCATGTGGCCTGATCTAGATACATGGCATTTTATCCTTGACAACTGGGGACATCCCTTGCCAATGGATCGAGTGCTTATGGTTTTTCTGTGGAATCTGCTTCTCATATTCAAGGCATCCCAGAAATTGTATTTATAATTATGTGCTTGTGCTTTGCAATTATGGAATTAAAGCAACAAAGGGCATTCCCTCCAGGTTATAATGAGTCTTGCCAAACTAATAATATCCTCCAGTATCTTCTGTAGTGACTGAAGTGCTCACGGATAATACTGAATAAGCCCTGCAAAATTTTGCTTTTCTGCTCCACATTTTATTTTTGATGTTTTCCCCTCCGTTGGCACATCCCTTCTTTACATGTGTTCAAAGCCCTCTTTTGATTTGGTTGTTGCTTCTGAGACAGCCACAGGAAAGTTTTATCTTTCCTTTTGTGTGTTGATTTAAAAAAGCTGAACTATTCCTCATTTCCAGCTTTATAGGAGATAATATGTATAAAACGTGCAGTTAGGACTCAAGTCGGACACACCTGGCGTTGAGTCTGGGTCTTTGGCTTCCTACTGGTCGTTCTGTCAGCAAATTGCCTACCTCCTCTCAGATCCTTGGGTTATTCATCTGTTAAAATGGAGATAAGGACCCAGTTAGCCTCATGAGGTTTTGTGAGGATTAAATTATATAATGCAAGATAAGGTGCTTATGGTAATGTCTGAGGCATGGTGTGAGTACATGTCAGTTGTTCTGTGTATAACTATTATTATTTTATCAATAGCAGTGTAATTGGAAATTTGATACTTCTCTGCTTGGGAAAAAGCAGAAAGCTATAAACTGGAAACATAGTAATGCAAGTGTGGGTCTCTCATGATGCATAGAACAAGGAAGATGCTTAGTAATTATTCCTTGGATTGGTGAGCTCACCTGCTCTCTACACAGTGGCCAACTGAGAAATGACTTTATCGTCCTCTGCATCTAATGGTCCCAAAGTCCTTTGGCTTCCTGGAAAAGGAGACTGGCATCTGATGATTTTACTTCTTAAACTTTGGGGCACTCCACTCTGTTAAAAAAAGATAAGAGTCATGAGAATTTTTGAATTAAGTAATTGGACCTGAGGCTGTGGCATCTGACACACTCCAAATGACCTACTTTGTCTGAGTTGGTGCTTAGGGCAAATGGTGGACCCTTTATCTCTTATTATCATTGCTGAGTATAAGGTCGAGAGTGTTCTTTGCTTTGCCACTGGGATTTTCTTCATGTTACGGATGTGTGAAAAAGAAGAGAACTTAGTATGACTAGACTATTTGGGCAAGTTTTATTGCCCCATGGGTTCTTTGCAGGAATATCTAGAAAAAAGTTGGCATAACAGTTGTGAATCTGTGATTTCAACAAAGCTTGTGGTGCAAAGAAATACATGATTTCTCTAGCAATGGCAAAAACAAGGTTAATTTAGCACCAGATTAATCCACTTTGGTCAGTTCAAAGCACCTATGGACTAACCACCTGATGCTGAGCACCATGCATGGGGCTGTTGATAAAGAGGTAACTGATACATGGTTCTTATTCAAGGGTACACCCACTGTCTAAAGAGGAAGATGAGCCGCAAACCTGTGACTCGGTATAACAAGGGCTCTAATAGGGTTTATGGAACATGTAAAGGCATCCATAAAGGATTGTGATTCTGCCTGCCTGTTGATTAGCAGACTTTGTTGTTTTCCTGCTCAAATCCGCACTTTCATCAAAGCTCACCCCTAACTACAGCCTGCTTTGCAGGCAGAACCCTGATTTTATTTATGTTCACCCACCACACAGCCATGTGCTCAGAGAAGGAGTCCCTTTCCAGCCCCAAAAAGTTACTTTTGATTAGTATCTACCCCACTAATGGTGATTTCAATCTCTTTCTTGAGAGTGATTGATTTAGACATCATGATGGCTATTTTCATGTGTCAAATTGGCTTGTTAACAATACCAAGATATTTGGTCAAACACTGTTCTAGATGTTTTGGTGAAGATACTTTTTTTTTTAAAGTAGACTCCATGCCCAGCATGGAGCCCAAAGTGGGGCCTGAATTCATGACCCTGAGATCAAGAGCTGAGCTGAGATGGAGAGTCAGACGCTTAACCAACTGAGCCACCCAGGCGCCCCACTGTGAAGTTTTTTTTTAGATGAGATTACCATTTACAGCAGTGAAGCTTAGGTAAAGCGGATTACCCTCCCTAATGTCAGTGGACCTCATCCAATCAGTTGAAGGCCTTGAGAGAAAGACTGAGGTTCCTCAAGGAAGAGGGAATTGTGCTTCCAGAACCTTTTGGCCTCAAGCTGCAACATCAACTCCTCTCTGGGTCTCCAATCTGCCACCCTTCTCTGCAAATTACAGATTTGTCAGTCTCCACAATGAAATGAGCCAGTTCCTTAAAATAAATCTCTCTCTCTACATACAGACACACACACATTCTATTGGTTCTGTTTCTCTGGAAAACTCTGACTGATTCACTAATATAGACATGAGCCTGGGTAAACAATTCTGTCCACGGTGGGGACAAAAGCTACACCGAAGATGATGAAACAGGGGTGCCTGGGTGGCTCAGTCGTTAAGCGTCTGCCTTCGGCTCAGGTCATGATCCCAGGGTCCTGGGATCGAGCCCCGCATCGGGC